ATCCATACATCTCTGCAATGACTCAAATAACTGCATAAAGTCAGCTGGAATGGCAAAGAAAGCGTTTTTGCAGGACTCCCAGAGTTAATCAAGATTCTTTGGATTCATCTTCAATGCCTCTTGCTTTATCTTACCCCAGACATGCTTAATAATGTTCATGCCTGGTGACTGGGCTGGCCAATCCTGGAGCACCTTAACCTTCTTTGCTTTCAAGAACTTTGATGTGGAGGCTGAAGTATGAGAAGGAGCGCTATCCTGCTGAAAAATTCGCCCTCTCCTGTGGTTTGTAATGTTATGGGCAGCACAAATGTCTTAATACCTCAGGCAGTTGATGTTGCCATCCACTCTGCAGATATCTCGCACACCCCCGTACTGAATGTAACCTCAAACCATGATTTTTCCTTCACCAAACTTGACTGATTTCTATGAGAATTTTGGGGCCGTGTGGGTTCCAAAAGGTCTTCTGCAGTATTTGTGATGATTGGGATGCAGTTCACCAGATGATTTATCAGATTCATCAGCCACTTTTTTTTTTCTAAATGACAAACTAGAAGCCAAGTAATTACTTGTTGCTTTTACAACTGGCATAGATGACAAGACTTTTGTCAGATAGTGTATATACAGCATAATACGATTTAATATACAGCATAAAACAATATGGTTTAATACAGTATAATATTGACTATAAATTACACTAGAATTTTTGATGTGATAATTATAGCAGTGTAACCAATTTTGTGAATCAGCAAAAAATATGTTTGCATTGGAATGCTGAAATTAAACGACATATTAGAAACAAATAATCTCTTTAAACAAGTAAGATGAGCATTTATATATCATTTAAATCTTTACATCAGAGCTATATGTGAACAACCAGTTTAAGTTTGCGAAATCAAACACCACCGAATGTCTCAAATAATCAAATAAAAGAAAACATTTTACATTAGCATTTTCTGACAAGTGATTAAAAGATGAATGCAGGCTCAGAGATTCTCACAGGGTAAACTCAGCAATATTTTCCTCTCACTTCTTCATGGCCTTTATTTTATCCGAGTGAAGAAGGCGTAAATCCAGCCTTCTGCGCTCTAGCAAAGTGGGCGATTATTGTTGCTAGGTAACAGCATGTCATAGTTGAAGCTGGCTTTATTTTGAAGTGGCTCTGCTTTGAATGTGAATGCGCTGATGTGGACTTCCTATGGGGCAGGAGCACATGGGTCATATTACTGGATGTTGACTCCTAATGAGATTATGGGCAATTCTCAGGATCTCTTTATAACAGCCCTCCATTCACCACAATAAAAAAAAGAGCTGCTAATGTGAAGATAAGAGTGCAGGAGGGGAAAAAATACCTGGAAGATTTCATGCAAACTGCAGCTGAACACAGGAGAAATGAGAGTGAATAGAACGATAGTTAGCTGATGTGATGTGGACTGGATGGAAAAACAGCAAAGAGTGCTTAGAGACTGTACAAAACATTATGTGATGTTGTGCTGCGTCAGGTCACGAGTGAATCGGTTAGACATTCGGACAATTAAAGTAGTCCGGTGTAATTAAACAGGTCAACAGATTCCAGCTGCATTAAGGCAAATAAAAACAGGCAGCGATTTAATCAGTTCAATTGCATTAATCTTGAGGACACATTGATTAAGTAGGATGAGAGTCTGAATTAAAAACTAGCATTTCATTAAAAGGCCATTTAAGTCACTAGATGACTATTTAAATGCAACAATCCTGGCATTTCACAGGCGGCTGACTCGGGTCTTCATGGTTCATTAGAAAGATGGAATAAATGTAAAGTGCATTCTGAAAATAATGACTGAAGGCTTTTCGTTATTAAAATGAAAGAGACCTGAAATTCTAACTCCATAATTATTTGTTTACACTTAAACTTTTGTGCTGTAGATCCATGACTAATTTTTTTTATAAAAGGGACTGAGCTGAAAAGAAGGAATGAATGGCTAGGAGAGATTTAAAAAACGTACAAGCCAATCTTCCCAAAGTAATAATGAAGTGATGGCGCGGATTTTCTGATGGATTTCCGCTTCAGGAGTAACACATATAATTTCTTATATCTTTATGATGGATCTTTTTCACATTTCCGGGTTTCTCAGTAGTGAAAGGCGTCATAGTTGGGTAAACTTAGAGCGCAGTAAATTGAAGAGGGTAAAACAATTTTTTTTTTTCAACTCCATTTGCTGAACTAATAAAAGAAAAACTCATCGATGGTGTTATCAAGACTTTCAGGAAAAGGAAATAAATTGTGCGAGACTGATGACAGCAGCCAGAGGAGAGAATAATGTCAAATTTACTCTCAGCTCCAAAGACGCTGCATTAGAAACACCTTACATAAGCGGCAATTGGTTTTTTGTAATTTGACGCAAAGATGATATAATACATTCATAAATGCATATACAGTTGAAGTCAGAATTATTAGCACCCCTTTCAATTTTTTTCTATTTTAAATATTTCCCAAATGATGTTTAACAAAGCAAAGAAATTTTCACAGTATGTCTGATATTTTTTTCTTCTGGAGAAAGTCTTATTTGCTTTATTTCGGCTAAAAGTAAAATAAAAGCAGTATTTAATTTTTTATTTAACATTTTAAGGACAGAATTATTAGCCCCTTTATATTCATCTTCGATTGATTACAAAACAATACATTATTATACAATAACTTACCTAATTATTCTTACTTGCCTAAATAACAATGTTAAGCCTTTAAATGTCACTTTAAGCTGTATAGAAGTGTCTTGAAAAATATCTAGTAAAATATTATTTAATGCCATCATGGCAAAGATAAAATAAATCAGTTATTAGAGAGGAGTTATTAAACAACAAGGGGGCTAATAATTCTGACTTCAACTGTAAATGTCCATAGGTTTTAAAAAAAACAGATGTCACACTGCATGACTATCTGAGCTAACATTTTACGTGTAACGCAGTGGAGTCTTGTTGGACACCTCGTTGGAATGAGCTAATTGAGCGATAGTCGAGCGAACATCACCAGCACGAGTGGCATAGCTCAGAGCGCATGGCAACAAGTTTTGACACTATCATTCCTGAACCGGTTTCCTTATTTTTCTTTTTTTTTCCATTAGATATCAGATTTTGCCTACTCTTCATCACGAGTAAGACAAGTAGGAATCATTAATAAGTGTGTGTATTATGTTAAGCACATTTGAGCATCACATACAGTATTACTTGCACATTTATTGAATGGAAAGTTTCCGATTCACGTATGCAAATTCATCTTCAGATGGTACCTGATGCGGCAATTGTTGTGCTTGCCTCTAGGAGTCGTCAATGGAAATAAAACAAACTGCACATACGCCATGAAGTTGGCGTGGACCAACGCACATTCTCATGTTCATTTCATCGTAAATATGAGCTTAAAACCTGACGTACGCAATTTTTTTGTGCGTACGCAGCGTTGATACATGAGGCCCCTGACCTTTTGAAGATTTGAAAACAACTGTTTCCTGATTTATTTGACATTTTATGTGTTAAATATTTTGAAGTTCATTTCTTTGCCAGTTTGGGTGTAGATTGGACCAGTTTTTAACCAGTTTTAATAAAGACGGCTGAGGGTACATTCAGTCTTGAGTAAGAAACAGATTGTACTTTGTGTGTGTTTTTATTCACTTTTGGATCATTTTACAGGTCTGGGGTCAGCTCTGAAGTGGCTGTCTGACATTTGTATACTTAAGATATTTCTGTGAAGTCTATCTGTGTTTTAACCAATCAGGTTAGAACACCTATATGTATAATGCAGCTAATGATGTTATGTGAGAATTTAATTGTTGTTTTGAGATTGTAGACAGAGCGCCCTACAAACTGATGTACGAGTGTGGAAGCTGGTGTTCTGCTGATAAGACTGCAAACTATCTTCAGTAATATATCTTTTACTCCGGCTCTTCTTCATGTGACAGACTGGTCATTTTTGGCTAAAAACTGTGAATATCCCTACAGAAGGAAGAATTAACAACCTTAGGGTGCTCTTATATTTTCGATTGCCGGGTCCAACTTCATGACTAGTTTGTGTTTACACTGTCTTTTCTTCTGAACCCTGGTACGCTTGGGTCTTCAAGCTCCTGTTGGGTGTACAACTGTTACTAGGTGAAAGCACGAAAGCAAAGCACCAAAATGGAAAGACGTACACATTTCAAAGTTGTTCTGCTTTCACTGAATCTTTTGGTTTTGTTATCAAAACCAAAATAGAGAGAGCCACTTGTGTCTATCTGCTGCAAAAATATTAAAAATGTTCAGAACATCAAGTGATGTATGCAGAAATAGGAGGAGACAAGAAAACATTATCATTGTGTTTGCACTGGATCAGTCCCGCATGTTGCTAAGTTATTTTTCAACTCAAAACTACAAGCAAAAGCTGCACAATGTGGCATCAGATCAATATTTTTGCGTTCCCAGTTGTTCTGCATTACAGGAACAGATAGAGCGCCAGAGCCGAAGCAACCAGATGACATAATCTAAAATAATAGTCCATTTAATTAGTCCAAAATATTAAATTGTTTTTACAAATTTCACAAAAAGGCATCATTTACATTATATTAGGGCATACAAGTCTTGATAAAATGGTGTAGCCTTTACAAGGGACACATTTTGTTTGGTGTTTTAGTTCATCTTGGCAACAATTTACACTCTTTCTACAATAAATACTATTGTAGTACAATAATTTCTTTACCAATCAAGCTTTCAAACCAAAACCAGGGCATTTGTGGCATTTCATTGAGTAGCTTGTGCAGCAAACACTACAAATTCATCTTATCTGAGGTCAAAATCAATCCTACCTTGATTCACCAACTCTCGGCACATGCATTAGGAGAATAAATTTAATGAGCTCGTTCATTACCTGCAAAAAGGCTTAGGAGGAAATGCTAGGGATTCCAGCAATGGCTTAATAAAGTTTTACCTATTAAACCCAAAAAGGGTTTGCAGACCCTCATTAAAAGCTGATGGCTGAATTAGGTGGGTGAGAGGCATACCTTGACCTCGATGAAATCTGGCTGGCCAAGGGCGATGAGATCCGCGTAGGCCTTCAGCTCATCCACATTCCAGGCCTTCACCAGGGTCAGTCTGTAGACCGTACGCTGTTGCTGGAGGACCAAACACAAGCAGGAACGATCAAATTAGATTAAAGCACCATACAAAATCTTGGGCAGAAGAGTTGCTCATAACCCATTTTAGCAGTCTGATGCATTTCTTATTGGAATTAGATAATTCAACAGGAAGGGTGAGTTTATTGGTTGAAAAAATAGGATGGCTACACTACTTTAGGTTACAATTTAGAGTATTAACAAACCGTTAACGAACACTGCTAGCTTATTAATCTGCTAATTAGGTGTTTATTATTAGTTAGTAAGGTAGAAGTTGGGTTTAAGTTTTGGTTAGTGATAGATTGCATGCAGGGCTTGACATTAACTTTTTTGATCACCAGCCACAGTGGCTAGTAGATTTCCAACATTACTAGCCACTCGCCATTTTCACTAGCCTCACTTTTTTTGTTGGGAAATATATTTTTTTATGCGTAAATTTGACTTTGACATGCTAAGATGACTTGATTTAGATGTTGTGTTATGTCCACATGCCTCCTCATTGATTTAACTTCTTGTGTGTGTTGTGTATTAGCTTGCTCAGTGTGCATGAGCAAATGGGTTGTTGCAATGCAATCAGTTTTTATTTTACATGACTTTTTACGGCTCAAAATTAAGGATTCACCAAATTTATCTCTGACCACACCAAATAAGTATTTCTTAGCCACAATGTTTTAATGTGTCAAAACAAGGAAAATATAGCTGTATAGGTGCACTTTTTAATTCAACAAAACTTTTATTTAAAAAAATAAATAAATAAATAAATAAAAAGAAGTATGTATCTAAAATATACACAGTAATCTGTCCTGGCTAAAAGTCCCAGATCACCAGTTAACTACACATAAACAGAGAGTAATCTCCCATTAAAGCAATGTTATTGTATAAAAATATAATTAAAACATATTAACAAAAATAACTAAGCAAAAGAAAGCAGGTAAAACATGCCGTGTTTAATAATGAAAGGATAATCATATGCACACAGTTAATATAGGCCTGTTAATCTAACAGTAGGATTAGGGATGTAGAACAAGATCATAATTTATAACTACTAATAAACAGTGAATATCTAAATAATACTCAGGTAATAAGCCAGTAGTTTAATTGTGCATTATTTGTGACCTAAACTAAAGTGTTACCAATAAGATTACAAATAAAGCTTTTTGCTCTTTGGAATAACAATTACTAATTGAATACTAATAATTTAATAAACAATGCTTTAAGATGCTAAATTATTTGCAAAAGATTGAGATAAGATTTGCTGGTGAAATAATATTAGGAGAATAACTGGTTAACCAAAACAAACAGACAAAATAAAAAGATGAATGCGATAAAAAAAAGATGAATTAAAGGGAAATGTGATTTAGTTACAGTAACAGAGACTATTACACAATACATAGTAAATTATTCAGTTGTTTTCATTTAAATACATAAGTTGCAATAACATATACTAGGGCTGAACAATATATCGTTTGAGCATTGATATCGCAATGTGTGTATGCAAGAGTCGCATCGCAGGATTAGATTATTTATTAAAAAATTAAAAGACAAGCATATTACTAATTATACTTTTAAAAAATAATTTATACAATGATGACCATGTTATTTTACGTTTGACTGTTCAATTTCTGTACTTAAATACTGTTACATTTCCAAGAAAATCAGAAAGCACTGTTTATTTCACTTTAATTTGATGCAATGCTATGTCATTTATATAAGTTTGGCCATAGGAGATATGGTCGTGACCAACTGAGCCAGGTTTCTCTCAATGTTTTTTTTTCCTTCACTTTCGTCAATTGGTGGAGTTTGCTTGGTTGGGACTTGTGGAGCCGCTCATCAATGTATTTGTTCTTCAGTGTTTGGACTTTCAGAGGTGAATTTTTACCACGCTTAACTGAACTTCAACTCTAAAAACTGGACTGACACTGTTTCAATTTACTAGAACATCTATGTAAAGCTGCTTTGACACAATCTACATTGTCAAAGTGCTATCGAAATAAACATGGATTGAATATATGCTTGAAATTTATTATATTTTATAGAGATGCACTGCATAGTAAAAGACTTGATCCCCCCACAGGTGATCTAAATTAAAGAAATCTTTCGAATAGAGCTTTTTAAATCACCTGGTAAATTATGTTCCTATCGCAGCAAAACAAAATATCACAAGGGCAGATTTTTCCAATATCGTGCAGCCCTACATCATATAAATGTATTTATGATTATAATTTAACCATAACTAAAAAGATCATGATTATTGGCAAATATCTAAAAAGGACACAAAGTGAATAATTATTTAAAATTGATTTGAAATTACTTTATTATTATAAAATAATGTAACATTAAAGGGGTGGCCCACCACGATATCATATTTTAAACTTTAGCGGATGTGTAATGCATCTGTGTAAACATAAGCAACATCTCTGAATGTAAGATGCTCAAAGTTCAATGCAAAGGGAGACATTGTATTTTACAGAGTTAGCTTCGCAAAGCCTACAGCGAACGAATTTGGGGATTACAAAAAACAACATCCAGGCTAGTGATATCAAAAGCGCTTCAGGCTAAGCACATTCACCACATGCATACATCGCGGGGCATGGCCAAAAGTGCTGTAATGTTATAGCAGAGGAAGCTAAAATGCAGTCCAAACACTGCTTTTTTCACAGACCTTGTTGTTTCTCTATTTGGGCTTCCAAAAAACACGACGAAAAGAAAGAAGTTCTTACAATTTAATTTTAATTATGTTTCACAGGATTATCCAAAATATATAGATAGTATATGACAAAGGAGAGCTTCCAGAATCTCTCCCAGTTCAGTGCTAGATTCTGCTAAAAACTTCTCCAACCATAATAGACGAAGCTGTTGATTGTTAGTTACAACATGTCAGTATTTTTATTTATTGAAATTGATCAACTACAGGCACAGTTTCTAGCATTAATGGTGTGCTGTAGGGAGGACGTAAAACAAGGATGTAAACAACGGGAAATGCTGTTTATCACCACTAACAATTTAGCTTCAAATTCAGATTTATTAGTCAAACCACAGTAAACAGTAACAATCTTCAGCAGCGCTCCAGTGTGTCTCTAGGCGGATGCTTTTCCTGCGTTCTACATCTCAAATAACGAACTCGCAAAAGATATGTGAACGATTCATATTACTTACACATGCGTATTATAATATATATGAAAGACACTTGGCAGATTTTATTTTAGAGAGCAGGCGTGAGGCTCAACTGTGTGCTCTTTGTGTCATTTGCTGTGTCATATCTAAACAGATATGGCTAAAAGCTACACTGACTGTTTACACAGAGCAAAAGTGTGTGCTTGAAGACGTGTCAAGCGTTTCCTGGTGATGTGGAGCTGATTCGCGATTCACAGTACAATATATTTGCTGACCAATCACAGCCTCTTAAGGGTGGGCCTTTCAGAGGAACTAGGAAATTTGACAGTCGTTTTCATGTTAGCTGAGTATCTGTATATAATGAAAGTAAGATGTATGAAAAAAAAAAACTGATTTTCTACAAATGAAGCATGAGTACACATTGCTTGGATTCTTATAAACACAACCAAACCTTAAAAATATGCTCTGGACCACCCCTTTAAAAACTACACTATGTCAGAAGAGATAGGAAAACAAAATAAACTGTACGTTTTGCTATTTTCGAAATACCGGACTTGGTAGGCAAGCTTTAAGTGTTTTTCACACAATGATGGGTTGTAAAACACACGCACACACGCAAACACACACACTGATATTTCTGACTCAGTGTTCAAGGACATTTAATATAATGTGAAGGTGTAGAAATGTCAAATTTTATTGTAATTATTTATCTGAAAATGAGTAATACATATTTGCCAAACTTTTGTATTGTGACAACCCACCTTAAAGACAATTAAAACACACCTAATTCTGAAGTTATGCTGTACTCATGGCAAATTAATTCAGACATACAGTACAGCACATCCGACAACCGACAAAAAAATTTAGAGCTTAAAATGGAACGTTCCATTTCTAGCTATTGCATCAACATAAACTTGCTGACACTGCTTAATACTATTATTGAGAGAGTCAGGTGAACATGGAGAAAACCGGCATCTCTTTTTATTAAGAGGGCTTCTCCAAACTATAGTGTCTGCCCTGGGGTCCTGGAGACCAAGCTCTCCAGCCCAATCATTACTCACAAACTCTCAAGGGGAGAAAAACCTCACAAAACACAGGCAGTGATAATGGACACTTCATGCCTCCCGTTACTTTTATTACACCTTGTCAATCAACCCGTCCGAATGTCACAATCTGACAGCGCTCAGAATAACTGCATCCATCTCTATAGGCTGAATGTCTTGATTGGTTGGTTGGGTCCTGTCGTAGTTGGTTGGTTGGGTCCTGTCGGAGTACAGATATCAGCGCAGTCAGCACTGTTCCTGATCCATGCTAACTAGCGCATCTGCAAGGCAGGGAAATACGTCGAAAGCGAAAGATAGGGAGGATCTGGTCTTCTTGGGCGTGCTCATGTATGTGTGCATGTTCTAGACAGAGGAGGAAGATTGGAGATAATTGGAGTGATGTGGCAGCAGGTGAGTATTTAAAGCAGCAGCCTGTTTTAAAGCTGTCAGGGAGATCTTCACGAGTTCCACACCTGAGGTTGAATGAGGCATCGAGTCAGAGGAAACAGACAGACACATGCCAGACGCTCAACAGCAGCATGCCAACATAGAGTCTGCTAAATGTAGAGTGAAAAAATGCTGACACTGAGCTTTGTCTCGAGTTTACTCTGGCTTTTAGTAAACCTATGATTTAAAGTTCAACAGTGCTGGAAATGCTGATGGAATCTCAGAACCCAGTCATAAAAATCCTACTATAATGAGCAATGGTCATGGAATGTCACATTTTTAAAGGAATAAATGAAACTAAGGGTGTTATAATTGATTTAATAGAGACAAAGACTTGTGTACGTGAATATTAAACCTCTAAAAGGCTGGTGTTTAAATACAAAGCCTAAAAGAACA